TACTCCTCCCCCCCCTCCCCCATCGGCGCCCTCGCCCAACTCTACAACGCCTCATGCGCCCTCGCCACAAACCCCCGTCTCCCATCCACTGATCTCGCCATCTTGCAAAACCCCGCCGCAGCCATTGGCTCCCACTTCTTCGCCGATAACACGACGCCTGAGTTTGATATCCCCTTGCTCGGTATCACGCGCATGCAAAAGGTCGAGGAGGTGGATGCGCCTGCCCCGGGTAATGTCAAGTGGTTGCGCTTGCAGCCGCAGAGTGCGGGCACGACGAGTGGTGTCAAGATGGTGTATCGGCTGAGTACGGTGGGTGGGTTGGCGCCGGCGTCGTGTGAGGGGAGGGCGGCGGGCGAGGTGGTTACTGTCGGGTATGAGGCGCAGTATTGGATTTATGCTTAGGTGGGCTGGGCTGGACTGGGCTGGGAGGAACGTGGGGGGGTTGATGTTTGATCGTTATCTGAGCGTGGGTTATGTTCATAGTGTGGGAGGGGTTTTTTTGTTGCCTTCTTGAGGCTTGTAGAGGTGTTTTTTAAGACTTTTTTTCTTTTTGTTACATATTGTTGGGTGGGTTAATATACCGTTTCCACTAGATGAAGACATGTCGTGGCTTCAGTTATATCGAACAAACTTGTCGTCTCAACACATTTTTTACACAGACGTTGCACGTCGCTGTAACACTGTTTTAGACTTGACATTGAAAAAGGAGAGTGCTACATATCCTCCCACGTCAACTTCACCATATTCCGCCCTATATCAGTTTCAGACTTCGCCCGCTCCTGCAGAACCCCTATTGGTGATTGACACAAAAAGGTGATCCTGTCTGCAGCATCTTCCTCCAATCCACACACTTCCTTGAAGTTCCCAACCTCCACTCCCCGCTTCCTCGTCCTTTCTGCAAATTGCGCAAGCGGACAACTCTTCCCCGGGCCACTATTACAATCCGGAATAGCCGTGATGCCGTCGTTGATATTGAGCCTGACAAACTTCTGTGGACCAGCTCGGTCTCGTATATCGCAGGACAGAAGCTCGAAGATGATGCGGCCGCCCATGGGAGAGATTTGTGATTTGCGCCACTTGCGATCGTGGTGAATATGTGTGGTCGGGAGGTGTTTTTCGTCGTTAACGATATCCAGTGCTGTCAACATCGGTGCTATGTCGCCGTCGTGCACGCTGTGTTATATCAGTCGAAGCTTGAAAGAATCAACCCGGGCTGGACTCACAAGCTGAAAAAGAAGGGCCCCGACTTTGGACCTTGGACAAGTAAATTCGTTGTCGCGTTCAGCCACAACCACCCCATACTTGCAGCGTACTTGTTCCCGGGGCCCGCACGATAGTAGTGGAGTACGTCGCGGGCGTATTCGAAGGCCAAAAATTCGTCGCGTGTAAACACATTGCACCAATCACTGAAGCCACGGACAAGCGTTTCGAAGCCACACATCTCCTGCATAGCGTATATCTCGCTATCATTGAACGTCATGCCTGCTTGTTCTGCCAGACGCTTTCGAATTGGAGGTGTGTATGTGGCGCGATATTCATCTCTTTTCCGCAAGCCCCTCGCGCAACCTAGTATCAAGTCTCTTTTGTTGGCCAAACACGTCCGACCCGGAGTGAGAGTATTTGCGCCGGCAGATGCATCCTCTGATACTTGTGTCAAGTGTGCTGAAAAAAGGTCGTCGTGGTCTCTGCTGAAGAATCCAAGCACAAAGTGAAGAGCTGTTTTGGCGACGCGCTGAGACTTGCTGGCCCAGACCTTGAGAGGTCCTTCCGACAAGGACGAAGTATGGTTCGAGAAAAGGAGTTGATAGCGTGTGCGGAGGCGAACCCCCGTGGTGAAGGCTGAAAGAGTCCCACTGAAAGGGCCTGTTCCAGTCAATTGTTCCAGATCGTTGTCATCTTTCAATTTGTTAGCGAATGAGCAGTAAAGAGAATAGAGTGGCACCTGTCCAGAAAAGTTTCCAATCGTTGAAAAAAGCGAGGCTGCCCTCAAAAGTCTTGCCGCTTCTCTTCATGCGATCGACGACGGACTTTTGCACTACCGCCCAATGTGAGTGTTTGTTCGTTCTGTTTCTTGAGATGCTGCAACTTACGCCGACCATGTTTTGTGGTAGGATACCGTTCTGCATGGCGCGACATCTTCACAAAATCAGGATCCATACACTTCTAGTTCATGTCCATGACAGATGGGAGGGATAGCACACCATGTGGACCTGCTCCACAACACAGCCATCGGGCACTGCAATGCCACCTTCCACAACGTCGGATACTTTTTCGATCCATGGCCCATTGCCACCTAGATGATACAAAATATTCCAATCGTCAGTCGTGCTGCCCCCGCCGAGTTGATGTTCTGCCGGTACCCCTCGACTGCGCTCTGGATGCCACCAGCTATTCCAGCTTGGGTGGTGGGGCTTATTGGTTGTTGCAAGGCTCTGTGAGGAAGCCAGGGGACATGATGAAGAAAAGAATGAGAGTGTTGTTGGATCGGCTGGGTAAAAGAAAGCCGCAACGGCCACAAATGTTGAAATGACGGCTGCTGCCCAACCCAGTGGCCTGAGCATATTGGCACTTGGCTTTGAACAATTGTAGCGAAAGTTATACCGGTGGGGCGGTGTTGGTAGTAATGATGAAGTTGAGGATAAGCAAACAAATGGTGCCACTGTTTCAATGGCCCGACAACAAGGAAAGCGGTGTGTTGCCCAAATATCTGTTCTTGCCAAGCATCTACCGCAGCCGTAGGTACAGAAGGACGTGTGGATCCATCATGGCCGGGGACTTCAAGCAGGTGCGGGTGATGACTCTGCTGGCCGTTTCTGACGAAGGCTCTGCAATGTTGTACACGTCACAGATAGGTGCACGATTTCAGTCAGTGGCCGTGAGGGGTGAATGAGTCTGTCAGTCCTCGGATCACGTGTCCCACCATATCGTCAATGTGTTTGACTCGTCATGTCTCTTCAAACATTCAGGGTAGGCCTTACCCAATTAGGACTAGTACAAACACGACGTGACGCGACGCGACATGACGCGACACATGCACGACCAAAAATGGCAGGTGGACCGCGGCATCTCGACCGAGAGCTCCACCTCCGCATTCTCCACACTTCTTTAACGTTACGACATGTTACATACTACCATGTTGCTATCTGTCTTACCAGCTTGGATTTCTCTTTGATTACCCATGCACTTTGCGAGCAAACTCCCACCACCACACTCATCACATCCCTTCTCACCATGTCCTCGGCCAGCCGACCACCTGCTCCCCACGCCACCGTCTACGAACCTGACCCCACATCCTACGTCTCCTATCAACGCGAAATCTACTCGTCGCTCCACCCGCCCAAGTTCTCGACCAAGCCGTCGCAATGGGAAGCCGCTGCCCGCGCCGCCGTCCCCTTGCCCGACTTTCTCTATACCTATGGCGCCGCCAGCAGCGAATCGACACACGCCGCCAATCGCTCAGCCTTTGAGCGGTACCGGCTGCGGCCCTCGATGCTGGTCCAGGCCACCCTCCGCAACATGTCCGTCACCCTATTTGGCCGGCAATACAAGAGCCCGCTGCTTGTAGCGCCCATTGGTGTGCAGGAGATTATGCATGTAGACGCCGAGGAAGCGACGGCGCGCGCATGCAAGGCCGTCGGTGTGCCCATGATTCTTTCCACAGCGGCGACGCGCAGCATCGAACAAGTCGCGGCTGCGAACGGCGATGGGGATCGCTGGTACCAGCTGTACTGGCCGAAACCGCAGGCAGAGGAATTCACCCAGAGCTTGCTGGCGAGAGCAAAGGCAAATGGCTTTGAGGTGTTGGTCGTCACACTAGACACGTTTATGATAGGCTGGCGACCTAGCGATCTCGACGAGAGCTACCTTCCCTTCATCTACGGCCAGGGCTGTCAAATCGGCTTCTCAGATCCCGTCTTCCAGCGCATGTATGCCGAGGAGCAGGCCAAGGACACACGCAGCATGGCAGAAAAGGTCTCAGAGATATGGCAGATTCTCAAACGGCCCGGGAGTATTGGTGGTGCGGCAAAAGTGCTGACGCACGCGAGTGTCATCAAGAAGGCCATGTTCTTCACGAGCTTGGTGGCAAGTGGTAATTATCGTGATTGGGACGATCTGCAGAATTTGCGCAAGTACTGGGATGGACCGATTGTGCTCAAGGGGATCCAGACGGTCGAAGATGCCCATCGGGCAATGGAGCATGGCATGGATGGCATTATTGTGTCGAACCACGGCGGAAGGCAGTTGGATGGTGCAATTGCATCCATCGACGCATTGGCTGAAATTGGGGCAGACGACAAGGTCAAGAGCTCTAATCTGACCATTCTCTTCGACAGCGGAATCCGGACTGGCGCCGATGTGCTGAAAGCCATTGCGCTAGGTGCCAAAGCCGTGCTCGTCGGACGACCGTACATCTACGGCTTAGCCATGGGAGGCGAGGAGGGCGTCAAACACGTGTTGAGATGTATGCTTGCAGATACGGACAACTCGCTTGCAAATTTAGGGAAGAAAACTACGGCGGATATCAGTCGGGACGATGTCAGGGTGGTTCACAGATTAGCAAAACTTTGAGCACGTGGGTAGGATGCAACGAAGAAGCCATGGTCAAGACGTTGTACATTCAGCACTGCGGTTTCTGCTTGCTTTTCTGTAGACGAGAGCATGCAGATACAACAATGTCTTCCAGATTTCTACTGTCCGGAGCATACCCCGACAGGAGCGCTCAAAATACCGGCGGGGCTTCCTACAGTAGTGCGGCTACAGCAATCAAGCCACGGCTTGATGTCCACATGTTCCGGAATATCGAACGTACAAGTACCTCCGCTGCCCATGGATCCACGAACGCTTTTATATTTAGGAAATGTCACCCTGGCGCAGCACCATTCGGCGACCTCCGGAACTGGCTGCGAATCCTTTGTGCACTGGCACGGTACTGCGCTTTGAGCCTGGGAAAACGTTAATAGACTGTACGCGAAAGTGGAAACGAGGTTTAGATATATTATGGGCAAAAAAGGCTAGCACGTTACCTGAGCAGGGACGAAGAGGGTGAGGAATAGAAGGCCAGCGGAAATAGTAATTCTCATAGTTGCGAATAAGGATGCTTAGGTGATGTAACGCAACTTATATTTATGTAGTTGCTAAAGCAAAATACAAGGGAATATAAGGAGATGTTTATATAGGTAGTAAAGCAATACAAGGTGCAGTAAGCATATAAACAAATCTAAAACAAACACGTTTTAAGAAAATAAAAAAGAAGCTAGGTACTTCTTAGCGAGACATATAGTACTATATATATAGACAGGCGGGGACTTTATGTGGGTGGGTACGGTAGTAAGCTGCTTATTGCTCTCACTACGGCAGGCAAGTACCGTAGTGTGGTATTGTACGACAAAGACTCCTTAAATAGTATAGGTAGAGCAATCTCCTGTCTCAGCACTCTGAGTCCCGGTGGGTGGTGCCCTACAGCAAGACTTCCATTTTTCAATGTCGTCCTGCGTTGTCACGAAGCCGGTCTCTTTATAATCGCAGCCTGAGGCATAACCGACAGCTACCGGTGTCCCAGGAACATTTCGACCATTTATCATCAAATTTTGGCAGCAACTTTTGGTGGCTTCGAAAATATCTTTTCTCGACTTATTCTCGAGGTTATAGCAGCCGCAAATTTCACCCTGTCCGCGTTGAGCCTGAGGTAATGTTAGCATGAAACGTACGCTGCTGGATGCAAGGTTGGAATGCAAAGGATGAGAAAGAAGGCAATCAGGTCACTCACATGGGCAGAAGCGGCGAGGAAAAGAAGGATGCGGGGATGGCAAGTCTCATGGCTGTAGATGGGGTGTTTAAATGAAAATAATTGTTCTTCGTGTGGGGCTGTACGGTCTCGAAGCCGAAGAGTTGGTACAAGTTCCAATGTGGGATCGAGTAGGTGTTGCTGATGCGATATTCTGAGGGATTTTGGAGGAGTAAGCAATGTTTATATAGTGAGGTTGTACAAGGTACTGGTACACTTTCACCCCCATTTGTCCAAAAAAAGTTCGTTCCTATAGGTAAATACCGGTACTACGGTACCGGTACCGGTGCCGGTATCGCGCGTTGCGCAAGTGCTTACCGGTACCTAGTCACCCGGAACAACGAGTTAAAAGTAAAATGTAGTACTTATAACGCCAGAAATCAATCAATGTAAAACTTTATAGCTTTCCTATTTATTTGCAGCTTTAAAATCAACCTCTATATGCCTATATTATGCTGCTTTCTCTAAGGCTTCGGTGGGTGACATCCGGGTGACATGCCAAGAACGATCATCATTTTTGACATGGGGGTGCTTTGATCTGTATAAACATAGCATGATCACGCAATACAGCAAGCATGTAAATGGCCTGTTTCATGTTAAAATTCTTTTCATAGTAAAAAGTCCGTGTTTATATTAAAAGTGGAGGTTATTGTGGGGTGCATCATCTCGATTTTCGGCAGAGGCTGTGATAGATCGCATAGGGATAGGTAGGTACAGTGTTATGCTGGTCTATTTGCTCCCACTACGGCAAGAATTGCGAACAAAGGGACACGTAACGCCTTTTCCATGGCACAGCTATAGTCTATATAGCCAGCACCAAATATCAGAACAATGATGTCAATTTCCCAACGCATGACGGGCGCTATTACGTCTTGAATACATGTGTACTGTACATCACCTGTTTTCTCTAGTTGATACTCAGTGTCAGATACTGTTCATTTCTCTTTGTCCATTTTGCATTTTCCAGTCCGAAAGTGTTGGACCCGAATTCGCAGCATGAAAACCTCGACCCCTTAGTAGAAGATTAAGAAGATTAGAATATACTATGCGTCTAGATCTAAGATTAGGACCAGATAGATGGGATTCTGATGGAAAGCTGCATAACAATAGGCAGAGGTGGCGCACTCGAAGCTATATCAAATTCATCCCCCTTGCGATTAGTATCCATGCTTTGCCAACTCGGTCTCTGTGTACTCCCAGAGCTTCTTTTGTAGGCCTTGGTCCTGCGCCCACTTGCTACCCGTCTTCTTGACCCCCACAGGCGTGTAAAAGGCGCCGTTCTCCAGATTCTCCTTCTTGGTTGTAGCACACCACGTCGTATTGAGACTCCCACCCTTTGCATCCTTGTAATGCCCACTCAAGAACGTGCCCAGCAAGCCATAGATCCACAAACCAATCTTGACAAAGATATTAGTGCGCAATGGGGCAAACAAATCGGTAAGAATGACGCCAGGATGTAGCGACACGCTCGTAATCTGCGGATACTGCGCCGCCAACTCGCGGGCAAAGAGAATATTGGCAAGCTTGGAGCTACCATAGCGGCGCCATGTGCTCTCCTTTTCCAGCGCGGCCTGGTCGAACTCAATGCCCTTGGACACAGGGAGCATGTGGCCCAGACTGCTCAGATTCACAACTCTGACGTCGGCGTCCGGCAGCTTCGCCGTTTCCAGCAGGACGGGCAGCAACAGCTTGGTGAGCAGCGCGTGTCCCATGTGGTTTGTGCCAAACTGGATTTCGTAGCCTTCTTTTGTGGTGCTGTAGGGTGTGGCCATGATGCCTGCGTTGTTGATCAGCAGGTCCAAGCGCGACTCGCGCGCTTTGAACGTCGACGCGGCTTGGGCAATGGACGAGAAGGATGTCAGGTCCAGCGGCAGGTGGATGATTTCGCACGCATTCGGGACCGACTTGTTGATGTCGGTAATGGCATCGCGAGCTTTGGATTCGGTGCGGGCGGCGAGGTAGATGCGGGCGGGGTTGTGCGCGGCGAGGTAGGCAATGGTTTGTTTCCCAAGTCCTGTGTTGCCTGTCGTGTCCAGGTTGGATCTTGTCAGTGTTGGTACCAGAAGATTGGCTTTGTGGACGGGCGCGTTGTCTGTGATGTCATACCACCAGTCACGAGGATGACCTTGCCGGCTAAACTCCCAATGTCTTTTCCCGGGTTGAAACTGTCGCCCATGTCAATTGCTGTGTGTATTCTCGTCTCGAGTTGAGTTTGGTGATGAAAAGAAAGATGGCGGATTGTGCTCCCAGATGGCTGGCGTTGTCGCGGCGAGATCATTTGCACGACAAGTACCGTACGTACCTGGGGCAACCCTAAACCTATTCGGATGGGTGGTCCAGTGGCCATGAACTGATGGAATCTCAAATCTTGCTATACGAAATTCTCTACAGTGGCTATCATCTAGCCTGTTTAGCTATATGCTTGCCAATTTCTTGACCTGTATTATTTACAAAGTATTCTTCTGATAGAGTAGAGTCTAGAGTTCTAATACACTGTAGTTACCAGCCTACCAGCCTACCAGCCCAACCGCTATGGGCCTATGGCTAACCAAGGTCCTGACTCTTGCGGCCTTGGAAATAATCAACCTGTTTGAAGTTGTACCTTCTTGTATTCTCAACACCTCTCCTTCGTCTCCTATCAGAGGACTACTCCATCAACACAGTTTTCCATTTGTAGATCACTGAATGAGCACCGGTGGGATTACTCCGACTCGCCGAAGCCCACCGCGGCGCATGGCACCACCCTTTTTCGTACATACTATACATACATGAAGACATACATGAATAGACACCATGTTACACAGCAGGCGGGAGTAGCTCACTAGTTGGCTGCCGTTGCCCGGTAGTGGACGTCCAGATGAGGAACAGGGCGGGACATGGGTTGTACCAGTAGAAACCAAATAGGTACCGTGCTTGCGTACTATAATACGTACAACTATGTACTATGGTAGCGCACCAAAGCTGCATGCATGCCAACACGAGCTGCCCCTGGCCATGCTCGCGATAAAGTGGAGGAAAGCCGACATCACGTGACGACCATTACCCCGGATGTGGAGACCTCGGAAGGTAAACCGGCATTGACAATGTTTGTACCACAGGAAATCCTGCGAGGCACAGCGTCAAAAGGCGCGCATCGAGACGGGATTTCCCATTGTTGTCATTTCGCCTGCCTCAAATCCAGCTGAGATGGTCCTCGCCTGAGGCCTAGGCTACGGTAGGTACCGGTACCGGTAACGTCAAGGTTAGGTAGCACCGGTACCTACCGGTAGTGCTCCTCCACTTCAGACACTTCCCCGCCCAGCCCTATCTATCTACGGTACATACATAGTAGATCTAGAGGTAACATGTCGAACTCATCCGCTCAAACATCAACAGCCCCAGCAAACCCGACAACCTCAGCCGCGCGCAATCGTGGCAGTCGTGCTAGCCGTCGCAATTCTCCGGCCCATGCTGACAGACGGTCGCAAAGACAGCGGTCGCAGCGGGCCGCATGGGCTTGTGAAAGATGCCGTCTCAAAAAGCTCCGATGTGTTGGCGGCCATCCCTGTGCTGCCTGTCAGCGAGCAGAGGCCGAATGCGACTTTGGTGATGGAGGCTCTTCCGGCGACCACACCTCAAGCCTTACGAGCCAGCGATTACTGCAGCTCGAGAAGACCGTTGTTGATTTGGTAGCCAGCTTAAACAGGCGCACTCATCCCCCCTATTCGGACGCCTCCAGTCAACCACCCGGGCCGCTTACTTCACCTCTCCCATCTTTGGCCCAGACTGCCCCATTTGCCCCTTCAGATCTCACGGGACCTTCTTACCATGGATCAACAGCTGAGCTTCCAGCCATCATGTCCCGTGTGCAGAGATCACCTGCTGCCTTATCGCAGGCGAACACAGTACCGGCATCCTCGTACGCCGTGCCTGGTTCCCTGCCACGCCCTAGGAGTCAAGCCATGAATGCAACCACTCCCCTTAGCACTTCATCAGTTCCAGAGGAATTGGGGTCCCGATGGATAGCTTTGCAACACAACGCAGCTCCTTTCCCTCCTTTGATGGGCCATCCTGCCATCTGGACCGAAGACGCAGCAGGCGCCAGTCCACAAGGCGAGCAGGAGGAACGGCCAACTATAGGTCCCACGAGTTATAGAGCCAACGTGGGACTGAACAGCGAGCCTGTCTCGGAACGTATCATCGACGAGGCGTCAGCGAAAGCTCTGTTTAGCCTGTTAGTCCCGATGATCGATTTAATTCAACTTTTGTTTTGCGCTTACCAGTACTGTAGTTTCGTTCGAAAGTGTCATCCATCCTCTCCACTTCTTGATTCCTCCAGCGACGAAGACGGCCATTTCAACCATGTTCGCGCTTCGTCTCCATTTCTCTTCACTGCGATCCTAGCAGTCGCTGGCCGTTATCGTACCAGCTACCGGAACATGCAACAAACTACGTCAAATCTGCCACCGATTTCTGACAGTGCCTTTGATGCTCTTGCAGATCTCGCCTATGCACACCTTGGATTTGCCCTGTTCCGTAAGCAGCACCGCCTGTTCGACATACAGGCCACCATGTTGCTCTCTGTATGGATACCAAGGGGTAATGGGCAAGCTGCAGATCAGTGGGTGACCATGGGACTATGTAATCGCTTGGCATACCGAATTGGTATTCCAGATGCCTGTCGCAGCCCCGCCATCTTGAATTTCACAGGTTCACATCAACTCGAGGCTGGCAACATTCAAGAAATTAGAATTGCTTTGTCTCGATGGTATACGTGGTTGAACGTTACACAGTACGGTGTGATTGGGGATCCCTATGTTTTGGCTGTCAAGTAACACATCTTCGCAGATACGAAACCTTCCTCAGCCTAGGATTCGGTCGCCCTCTTACCAACCAAACAATCGATCCTGTCCCTCGTCAATTCCTTAACACGGTGCGAAGATTGGGACTCGCAGCACAGGTGGATCTAAAAGCGGCAACCTATGTGACCAGCTTGGCCGAACTTTCTCCCGTAAGCTTCCGCCCTCTGTCCCTCTTTCACGGGCAGTCTACTAAGTTTCAATCATTTCAGATTGCAACAGACTTGATATCCGGGTTGAAAACTTCACGTTCGAGGACTACAAGTGGCCAAGATTCCGCACAGCCCTCTGGCACAACATGGCAGAGGACTCTAACACTACTCTCCAAGCTCAACCCAAGACTAGATGAGTGGCAACGTCAATGGACGTGGGATGGTCAGTCTTCAGCCAAATATGTTGGTGTATGCTACTGACGCTAGTGAAGGCTCTTACGACACCATCGCACTCGACCATTACGCAACCTTGGTGAAGATATACGGTGAACATACGCGATTGTGCTTGAATTCACTTTCTCTCAATCTTGTCATGACTAGTCCGGGAAACGAGTCCCGACAAAACCAGCTGATAGTGTCGTCCTTGGGCAGGGCATGCGATGCAGCAGTTGCGCTTGTGAAGCATTACTGTCCCACTCCTGGTGCCGAGTCAGTCGTAGCTTATGGCGGAGAGGTAAGCTGTTCTTGATCCTGGTCCCTTTGGAAAGTTCTTGTTATACTAATTTCCTCTACACAGTATCTCGTCTTGATCCTCGGACAAGCTGCCATGTTCATCGTGCGATTACTGGTTGCTCGGCTTTCGCAACTCTTGCCCGTAGACCCATCGGTTCTGGTTCACTATCTCAAGAGGGCCATTGAAGTCCTAGAGTCCAGCAATATTTCTGCAACCAACATTTGTGCTTGGATGGCCCAGCTCTGTAGTGGTCTCGCCTCCCACGCAGGCGTCGTTCTGGCACCAGATGGCGACGTTACCGATGCAAAGTAAGTGCTGAATGACCCCGGCCATGAAACCTCCTGAAGTCACATATCTGACACAACGGACTACAGCATGGCGCGAAAGGATACCGACCTCCCAGAACTCGAGTGGGACTTTGATCTTAGCGCCATATTGGCCCAAGATGGCCCGATCGGAGGCACGGGTCTTGATCTGGGTCACTACTTTGACTTTTCGATGTGATGATCTTGGTCCACTATCATCTGATGTGAAACGTCACGCAATATTCACCCAGGATAATGGATTCACATGTCAAATGTATGGCTTTTGAAGATCAGGTAGCATTATATCATCAGGAAAGCATGCTTGTAGATGTAGTTAGGTAATAAGATGAAAATGATACGCCGATTCGCCCCGCTAAACCAAAAGACTAAGTCCTCACTAACTTCATGCAACCTCTAAGCGCGAGGGACTCTTCCCCGTCCCCGATTTCGAATCATCATGGTGCTCGTACGTCTCCACAGTGCCCTTCTGAACTTGCTGAATAGCAACATCATTCAGTTCGTCAATGGCGCCCTTTTGTTTATCAAAAATCATCGACACTTCTTCGATGCTGTGGTGCCTTGTCTCAGGATACATGAAGTAGGCCAATACGAGGTAGAATACGAGGATAACGATGTAAACGGCATAGCTAGATGGTAGAGGAGTAAGCCTGTGAGGTTTGGAGGCTTGTGTAGAAGTGGACAAAAGACTTACTATTTCCAGGCCAGGTTCCGTAGGGCAATGGGATTTACGAATTGATTGAAAGCGTTTGAGAAGGTTCCAACAGAGGTGAAGATGGCAAGGCCTTTTGTGCGCAGGTTGTACGGCATGATTTCGGCAGTGTAGGGGACAGGTAGTGGGGACCATGCGATATCGTAGAAGCCGTAGTAACTTGAAGGAGATTGTGTTAGTATAAATCTCTTTGTTGTTGTAGTGGCGCTAGGAAACAAACAACAACTTACATGAATAGAATAGGAACTACGGCAATTCCCAGCCCACGACTTCCGGTATTAGCAAAACCGGCGGAGAATCCCATGAGGAAGCAGTACGATATGAGCATTCCAATGAGTGAGGTCAGGAAAAGTGGACGACGTCCGAATCGCTCGACGTTGAAAGCTGCTCCGAATGCTAGGATAAGGTTCCAGATGGCTAGAAGTACCTCGATTAGCAAGTGAAAAATGATGGAAAGTGGGGTTTGTATTTACCGAGTCCCGAAGTGAGGAGCAGAATTTGTACGGGGGAAACGATACCAACGGATCGGAGTACGGGCGTAAGATAACTAGAAGCAGAGTTAGCGTTCGAGATTTCCAGGTGCGACAAAAAAAACTTTAGTGGTCTTACTATGACACGATGCCGTTGCCGACCCAGTTCAATCCGACGCACAAGGATAGAGTGACGATGAGACGCTTGCGGTTTCCTGGTGTTCTCAAGAAATCCAGATAGGACGATTGTTGACCAATCCGTTCTTTCTCCAAAACGGTCTCAATCTCTGCGAGCTCCCATACGACCAAGGGATCATCGATGGCGCCATTTGCGTGGTACTTGCTCAGTACATGGGAGGCTTGGCTTATTTTTCCATTGGAAATAAGCCACTACATAATAAATTTAGTAAATCATCAGAGCAGCGTGTAGAGATGGCCGTAGTAGACGTACCCTTGGAGATTCGGGACAAGTCCATAGTACTGAGAGTACCATGAGAGGTCCTAGGCACTGAGCTAGTGAAGGTAGCCTCCAAGACCATGATCCTTCCATGTACAGTCCAGCAACTGTAACCAGCCTTCTTGTCAGCAAATTCACAGCAAAAGAGGGTCTTGTATCTCTGACGTACAGCATAGTAGTGCCGACAGAAAACTGCCAAAGTAAAAGGAGGGAAAATAGCATGAAGCCATGATGGGTCGTATCCGCGGATGTGCAATCTCTTGAATCAGAGCTGGAGCAGCAACTTTGGCGATACCACTCCCAGCACCTATAATAACTCGACCTGATAGTGCGAATTAGCATTATTGTGCTTCTTTGTCACCAAGAGGGAATATACGAACCGGCGACCCAAGTGCCGGCATTGTGAGCAAAAGTGTTAACCAATGCACCCGCAAAAGCCAGTAGGGTTCCTACGGCCAACGCAAGCCGCCTTCCATAGCGTGCAGATAGGAAGTCACCAATATAGGCCGTGACTATGCTTGGGAGAAACAAAGTGGAGGCGTAGAGACCGAGGATTACGCCTCGAGGATAGTTGAGAAATACGTTCCAAGCCTCGATTGCTTGTAAGCCGTTGAGTAAACCTCCATCGTCTGGTCGGATGCGGGTCAGTGAAAGGAAGGCTATGGGTTTGGTAAGAGCAGCACATACAACCCTGTTCATAGATTGTTAATGCGGCACAGTGAGGTGATGAATGAGAAACTTACGAGATAGAAGATGACTAAGCAGAGCCCGAAGCTATAGGAATGAAGCTCAGAATCATTGATCCGTCTCAAGATTGATGGGTTATTGCTGAATTGAACTCACCAATGCACAACATTGATTCTCAGAGCTGGGTCCTTTATCCAAGATGCATGGGTATTATCTGTGAAGCGGTGTTAGCAGCCGAGCAGCAATGCAAGCCAGCTTCGGCACTTTGGCGAAACCTACTAGGTATATCTCCAAACGAAGACTTTTGGTTCGACATTATGGAAGTTGATGAAACGCAAAAGTGGATAGTAGATGCAGCAGCGACCTCATGGTGATACCAACAGCTTTTTCCGGGGAAGTAAGCTAGGTTAAGAGGGCCATGACTGCAGCATGGCCACGTGCAAGCTAGACATGGCCCGGAAGGCTGGCCCAGATCTTGCCCAGGTCTTCGGGGAAAAGTCGTTCTGGGGCGTAGGCGAAAACAGCAAGACAGTGGGGTCAGGGTTATGGATTGGCTACCGGACTGGTGGGTCCGGGGAACATCCGATGACCCGATCTGGGTGGTGACGTGAGTCCGGCACCTCCGTGGCTTGGCGCTGCAAGTGATCGGGTAGAGTACATGTCCATGGCATGTGTCGAAAGCTAGCTGGATGAGTGCCTGAAATGTAAATATACCACGGCTTATCGCGGTCCATTGAAAAAGCTTGGAGAAATTTCACTTTCTTCAATTCACGATTACATTTGTTCTTGCCTCTTCCCCCCCTCCGTCATCTCCTCCTTTCTGCTTGCAACTGAATAGCTCCGAAGCTTGTTGCATGCTGCGCGTCGCCTTCCACAGTCTCGATCACCAAATATCAGAATGGCGAATAAAGGCATGGATCGATCTTTCTTGACGGCTTCTGTCGAGGAGCTGGTTGATCAGATGTCCTTGACTGAAAAGCTGTCTCTCCTTGCAGGCGAGGATTGGTGGAGGTTCGTCAATTGTGTTCTTAAATATCTCTACATTATACTATTAACTTCTTGCTAACAATTGTAATAGAACTGTAGCTGTACCAAGGCTCAATATTCCTTCGTAAGATCTGCGACTGGGTGATGTCCCTTTAACCGAAGATTCAACTAAATCTGGTGTTCTAGTATCAAAGTCACAGATGGTCCTAATGGCGCGCGAGGACAATCGTTCTTCAAAATGAGTAAGTACAACACTACATCTCACTTCACTTTCAGAACTCCGTACCAACACTTCAATCAGCACCTGCCGTTGTACTTCCCAACGCCACGAGTCTGGCCGCAACCTTTTCAACAACACTTCCAGGTGAAGCTGCTCGATTACTGGCTGCCGAGACTAAAGCGAGAAGGGCTGTCTGCCTTCTTGCGCCAACCATCAACATCTGTCGAAGTCCCCTTGGAGGCCGAGCTTTTGAGTCATTCAGCGAAGACCCCACTCTTAGCGGTCTGATGGCAGCTGAGTACATATCTGCCCTCCAAGCCGAAGGCATCAGTGCGTCAATCAAGCACTTCCTCGCCAATGATCAAGAACACGAGCGAATGGGTCAAGATTCCATTATCGCGCCCAGAGCACTCCGTGAAATCTACCTGCGCCCATTCCAAATTGCTCAAGCTCGTAGCCAGCCTTGGGCATACATGACGTCGTACAACAAACTCAATGGCACCCATTGCTCCGAGAACAAGTGGCTGCTGAATGACTTGCTCCGAGAAGAATGGGGGTTTGACGGACTCGTCATGTCTGACTGGATGGGGACCTACTCTGTCGCAGAAGCTATTAACGCTGGACTAGACTTAGAAATGCCTGGAAAGCCCCGATGGCGACAGCTGGGCCTGGTGCGCCAATCCATCAATGCCCATAAAATTCGGCCCGAGACAATCAACGAAAGAGTAATAACCGTTTTGAAGTGGGTGCAGAAGCTTGCTGCTAAGAATCAAACCATCGTCTATGAACAGGATGACTCAACCGAGTTTACCAGAAATGAAGATCAAGAAAAAGATGCGGCTCTGGTCCGACGCCTCGGAAACGAGGGAATCGTCCTGCTAAAGAATGAAGCCTCAGCTCTTCCTATCCGCTCTGGCAAGGTAGCTGTCATTGGGCCAAGTGCCAAAGCCAACATCATTACCGGAGGTGGTAGTGCCAGGCTCCGCCCAGCCTGGTCTGTGACACCATGGCAAGGTCTGGTAAACAATAAGCCTACTGATGTAGAGTTGTCTTATTCCCTCGGTTGCAAAGGATCGAAATTCCTCCCAGTCTTCGGCGAGGAATTCACGAGCGAAGACGGCAAGACACCAGGCTTCGATATGCTGCACTACGCCATCACCGCTGATGGCAAGCAAGCAAGTCAGCCAGCTGTATCTGAGGTGTGGAATAGTTCAGATATCATGCTTGCCGATTTCTCCCATCCCGATCTAGGCGCTGATTATTATACGGAGATTCGAGCGCTCTTCACTGCGCCAATTACAGGTGATTGGCAGTTTGAAGTTAGCGTCACAGGCCAAGCATGGGTGTACCTTGATGATGAGATGGTTGCCGATTTGTCAAAAGAGCAGAAGCGAACTTCGTCGTTCTTTGGCAACGGTGGTAATGGCACTGTAATCACGATTTCAGTGGTCAAGGATAAGGTTGGTCATTATTCATGACTGGCTTCAATTTGCAATTGCTGATACTGAATTCTAGGTGTACAAATTCCGTCTCCTACACGACTCCAGGAAACCTCCGCTAGCACCAGGTCAGGACAGCCAGCCACTACAACTGATTGGCATGAAACTCGGCTCATTCCGAGCCCTCAGCGAGGACCATAGCATTGAAGAGGCTGTTCAGCTTGCTAAGAAGTCGGATACGGCTGTTTTAGTCGTCGGCTTAGATCAAGATTGGGAATCGGAAAGCTACGACAGGCCCAATTTGTCTCTACCTCTCCGGATGAACGAACTAGTCCATCGCGTGGCCACAGAGGCACCAAACACAAGAACTATCGTTGTCTTACAGACAGGGTCTGCGGTTTCAATGCCTTGGTTGGATAACGTTGAATCAGTCGTGTGGCCCTGGTACGGTGGTAACGAGGCAGGCAATGCAATCGCCGACATTGTTTACGGAGCTGTCAACCCTTCAGGTCGACTACCCATTACGCTACCTAAGCGAGAACTTGACATTGCTGCGAACTTGAACTTCAAATCCGCCCGGACCAAAACGTATTACGAAGAAGGTATCTGGGTTGGTTACCGACACTTCAACGCACGGGGTATAGAACCAATGTACCCATTCGGGCACGGGTTGTCATACACATCATTCGAGTATTCTAACCTCTTCGTGGCCCCATCTGCTTCAAGTTCGCCAGACACATGGGGTATCCAGGTTTCCGTCACCGTGACGAACACAGGCAATGTAGCTGGTAGCCATTCAGTCCATTTCTATGTCACGCCACCGCCTGCAACCTCCAACTCCCTTACGCATCCCGAAGTCACTCTGCAGGCGTTCGCAAAATCTGCCATAATTTCACCAGGTCAATCTGAGACAGTTACTGTGAAGATGGACAAATGTAAGTCACTATTGGAATCTTTGCGCACCTAAGCCATAGTGCTAACAAATCTCTTTTAGATGCAATTTCTCATTGGGACGAGCTGACTTCTATGTGGCGGGCTGAGCCTGGGACATGGCACGTCAAGATTGGCAAAGATGCCCAAACTATGTGCGCAGAAGCGCCTTTTGATGTTGCAACTGGGTTTAAATGGCGAGGCGTTTGATTTTCTGGGACCATAATCTTTATATATTTAGACTATTGGGTGAGTTTTTTTTTATGAGTTATGATTTGCAAGCGGTCAATCAGAATTGGAAATGCGAATATTGTGGTACAGTGAGAGCTTTGATATATGGTGACCTGATCGTGTCGTTGTCTAAGCGCGTGAAAAAAATCTGCCATGTCATTCCACAATTAAATATCACTTGTATACTTCAAGATTGTTTAATTAATGTAACCAGAAAAATAAATGCTTTCTACCGGAAAGACTGATCATGAGCGTGCCAAAGTGCCATGCCGATCCACATGGCATTACCCTGGTCACTACTTCTCCAGCATTGACAAGTGACATTACGTGACCAACAGACCATCTTTTCATCCATAGTTTTTGCTAATCAATAAAATTATCCAATCGCTTATGGTTCAGACTAGAGTCTCTACGTCAATCTAACGTAGCGACAAATATTGAATATACTGGGTCCAATTCCCACAAAGACCAAAACGGCGATCACTGCGAAACCGAACCAGGGTCGGGACGCATATTCGGGACTTCAGAGCCCAAACTCCAGAAACCGAGCCCTCGGATCTGGGGCACACGAGCATGACCCCTGCTAAAGATGACTTAATAAGTGTGGGGAAAGTTTTTCAATTGGTCGATGGGGATTCGGAAGCTCCCCGGACACGCGATCAAGCCGTGCACGTGGGCTGGAAATTCCCCGGACAACGATTCCACCACCTAAGTGCGTCCGGCAATTCCCCGAAACTGGGGAGCAGCTGGGGTTATAGCGTATGCTGCTGGGTGCAGATGTTGTCTTGGGGTGCATCTATTAAAGGACCAGGTTCACGCGGTTCTTGTTCGAACATCCAGAGTCAGGATTGATCTCCAGTTCACTACTATTATATTCGCTTCGCAATGGCTGCTAAAGTCAAGTGGACTGAGGTTCCTAGTAAGTTCAGCTATGTAAGGGAGTATTGAGAGCATTCCGCTGATTATTTGCTGCTAGATAACACCAATGCTATTTGGTACAAGGATTCAGGGCTGCGTCGCAATGTCGCATTTGGACTTGGTCTCTGCCTTGTCATTGCAACCAATGTAAGTTTGCATTCCCTCGTATATCAAATGAAGTATATTTTCTAACGATCATGGACAGGGATGTGGGTACTGGAAACGTTTTTCAAGTTATTTCAACAACTAACCATGCTACCCATAGACCAAGGAAGTCTCTTGACTGGTTTCCAGGCAATGCCTGCATGGCAAAGGTATATTCTTTTTCTAAATTGTCTTTTATATTTCTACGAAGCTGATCGGGGAACAGATACTTCAAACAGCCAACTGGCGCTCTTCTTGGAATCTACGCTGCTTCCTTCTTCCTCCCGTCGATAGTCACTGCTTTCATCGGAGATTACATCTCCACGAAGTTTGGCCGTAGATGGTGCATCATTATCGCAAACCTGGTTATCTTGCTCGGGTCATTGGTTAACACGTTTGCCACATCTATCGGCATGTGGGTTGCTGGTGAGTAGCCATTGTGATGCGAGGAACGACACTCCCAGTCTGACCATGTATTTTAGGTCGTGCCATCATTGGATCTGGAGTCGGCATTGTCAAAGTAGCGGCTCCCGTGTTGATTCAGGAAATAGCCCATCCGCGTCTCCGACCTACACTTGGATCCTTCTATCAGACGTTTGCATACTTTGGTATCTTCTTCGCAGCATTCATGACATGTAAGTCCGCGATTGGGTTATTTATGGATGGACAAGTTCTAACTGCTATCAAGTTGTCGGCCTGTACATCCCAGGAGACTGGGGCTGGCGTTTTCCATCGCTTCTCCAAGTCATTGGCCCGGTCGTCATCATCATTGTTGCTCTCCTCTGCCCAGAGTCCCCACGTTGGTTGGTCAAAAATGGCAGGGATGAAGATGCTCTGAAAGTGCTCGCCAAATACCACGCTAATGGAGACTCACAAGACCCTCTCGTTCAACTGGAGATGAGGGAGATTGGCGAAGCCATTTTGCGCGAAGCTGCTCAGCAACAGGCCAGTTTCTTGGACTTCCTTCGCACGCCAGGAAACCGAAGGCGTTTGTTGACCATTACCTTGATGGCATTTTCTCTCAACTGGATGGGCAACGGTATCATTACCTAGTAAGTTTAGACCCCATGCAATGATGCCTTAACTTACACAAACAGCTATCTTGCACCTATTCTGAGGTCTGTTGGTGTCATCAAGCCTATTGAAATTACTCTGATCAATGCTGGTCTCGGTCAGTTTTTCCCTCTGCATTTTAACATCAATTTAACTTGACTTGGAGATTGTGGGAACATTTTGCTGATATACACACAGCTCTCTTCAATCTTATTCTCGCTGGCCTCTCCGCAATTTACTGCGACAAAATCGGACGCCGTCCACTGTTCCTCATTTCAGTCACTGGCATGCTGTGTTCTTACGCCGCTATCATGGGTCTCTCCGCCGGCTTTGCAAAAACCAAGAATTCCTCCACGGGTATCGCTGTTATCGCATTTCTCTTCATGTGAGTCTCAAGTGCAGGCAAAACAGAATCCACCATCAAATCTAATAACTGTGTCACAGCTACTTTGGGTTCTATGACATTGCCTTTACCCCTCTTCCTGTCGCATATACTGTCGAGATTCTGCCTTTCACTGTTCGATCGAAGGGTGTGGCGCTGTTCACCAGCACAGCTACCCTGGGCAACTCGTTCAACCAATTCGTCAACCCAATCGCCCTCAAGGCCATCGCTTGGAAATAGTGCGAGACCCTTGCCATGTTGTAACTTGGAGTATTTGCTAACACATTGTGCAGCTATGCAGTCTACATCGGTATTCTCATCTTCTACTTCGTCTACATTTACTTCATGTGCCCGGAGACTAAACGCCTCTCGGCTGAAGATGCATCGCGAGTATTCGACTACGACCGCAAAGGTAACTTTCGAGGTGTGCGAAAGGAGGACCTGGAGAACCCAGAGACAGAGTGCACAAAGACATCTGAAGCCACATCTATGGTCGATGCTGAGGTAAAGACAGAAGAGAAGAAGAAGGAAGGACTTGACTTGTAGGCTTCGAGCACCTGTAGTAATAACCGAATTCAAAACAGCAGATAGTCGTGGCGCAGAACATCATGAAAATATGAAGATGTATCGATAGACGCAAACTGCTACATCTTGATATGTTGTATTATGAAAAGTAATGAAGATTAATGAAACATGCGACCATGACAAACTTTGCTGCTAAGAGGAGTGAGTTGATGTAGAGCGGAGCAATGCATGGAATCATATAATAGCCCGTGAAACCAAGTCCGTGAAAAGGCTTCTCTTCTTTTCCCTCAACTACAGTCCTGGAATGAACTGCTCAATATACTGATTTGTTTAGACTATAAGCGCAGTCACGCTGCCATGCGCCAAATGGGTTGGCAACAGGACAAGGGCAAGACTTTACAGCACCGAGTGTTCATGTACGTTCTAATGGTAGAGTTTGTTTATTAATTAATGGGTTCATGTATTAGTGTCTGATTTTTGAAATTCCCCAAACTTCCGTTTCACCAATGATAGCAGGAACTAGTAATGAAGTTTATGAGAGACAAAGTGCCATCTCGTCGGGATTCACAGCTCCGATCTTGCACGTATGCCCGGCAATTTTAGGACAAAGTAAGCCGAATTGCAAGGTCAGGATCATCAAAGATGCCCTCTGTCTTGATTCTTGTACTCTGCATATGGGTTGTTGAATTCTGCACAAGCGTCCCCTGTTGTCGCACCCACTCCAACTAATAAAGAGCCTTGCGGCGTTGCACTTGGCTGTGTGGCAGTGGAAATGGCTGGGGCATAAGCCTGCTTTGCAGTTGTAGATTTTCCCTTAAAAGACGAGAGAAGGCTTTGTCTCTCACGCTCGACCTGCTCCTCTTGCTCACAATCACTGTCGTAAGTAAGATCAATCGTTTCCCCACGCTGTGTGGGAATCGAACGTGTGATATGTTTGCGCTTTTTTTGAATCTGGGGCTGAGCAGATGGAGTTGCTGGCAAGACTGAGAGGGGGACCTGTGGTGAAATTGACCGTATTATGCCCTCCCCTTGCTCATGGATGCTTCTTGGGGTGTAGGCACCTATGCCTGTCCTGTAATGTGGTCCGCTGATGTTCAGCTGGTGAATGTATGGCGAAATGGACAAGTCAGGTGAGGAGACTGTCCTTGAGGGTAGCTGCGGAGATGTGCCGCTACTCTCCAGATACCCATTTTCGGGATGAGTGGAAGGGGATGGGCAATACTCATGGAGCTGTGACACCCATCCTGGCCGTACTTTTGGGGATAAAAAGGGAGGTTTCTCCTGTGGTTGTTGCCTAGGGTAATGATTTGAAGGAACCTGTGCCTTTTGAGCATCGAACGCGCCCTGTTGCACCGGCGCCTTTGGATGATTTATATGGCGCTGCCGTAATACTGCCGTATTTTCTCCTGTTCCTTCAGGCACAAACAAAGTCTGCTCAAAACTGGTGGAAGATGCGGTTTGCGGTAATGCAGATGGCCTAGAACCGGTTCGCTGTCTCTTTAGAAACCGTGTTTGTGAAGGCAGCGTCGCAGCTTCCGGGTCAATATTGACGTTGACTATTTGAGGCGATGTTTCTTTTGTGCTGTCTTCTGGAAACGCCAAATTTGCTCCCGAGGCTGCCGATGGTCTTGCATTCGGAGGAGGCAGGATTGTCACGTCACCTCTTCTTGCTGCAGATTTGGCCTGAGACGATCTCACTACTGCTGAGGCAGAATCATACGGTATCGGCGCTGCAGTCGATGAAGATCTTGAGGCCGAATCGAAACGTGTTCGATCGAGGACACTACCATCCACCGCGCCTCGAATCACTTCTAGCTCATCCAGATATTCCCATATGAACTTCCAGGTTGCAGCATTCAAGCGGAGGTCAATAAAGTGCTTGCGAAGTTCTTCTCGGAGAGCTCTTATATCCCCCAGTAGCATGCGATTATTTCGTGTTTCCGAATACATAGAAATCATAATCGTCACAGCAACCATTTCGACAGGTGCAAAAGTTTGTACACCGCCGAGGTACTTGCTTGCATTCGTAAAGGTATCAGGATCCAATTCTATTAGTTCCTGGAGTGTGTTCCAGACACTTGCCAGATGCGACTTGATGCCATCATCAACCAGTCCTTTGTTGCCAATGAATTTGGGAAGGGCCGTGTGGTTGGTCTTCAGGACTGGAATACCTGTGGCAGCGGTAGGATGCATGATCTCAACGATCTGACTGAAGCAGGACAGTGTGAGCTGAAAATCCTTTGCACGTGCCCTATCTTTCATTAGATTATAGACGGCTGGAAAATCGTCTACAAAGAGTCTGGCAAGCTCTTGCCATGGGCCGGATGAGGCGCGCATCTTCTCCGCTGCAGTTAGTGTCATACCCATTTGCACCCGGGCAAAAAGGTCTTCTTCCTGCTCTTGAGATAGTCCATTGAATTGGTATGTGACGAAGTCCTTGTTCAGAAACGCTCTCTGGACTGCATCGGAAAGAATTCTTCGACGTCGTCCTGCTTCATTGCTGAACCACCTGTACAACTGTGAGACTTCTAAGTAAGACTGGAATGATTGAGAAAGTGGACACGAACCAATTTTCACCGCGATGATCGTGACAAGGGATCATGCCTTTGATGAAAGCTCGTACAGAAGAGAGACGTTGTTTGCCATCGACACAAACATACGTTGTGCGCGTTCCGGGTTTTCCACCCTCCACAACGCGTATCTGTTTGCCATTGAGTATGATCGGTGGGATGTAAAAGTTCTCTAAAGGATACGATATTAGGATCCTGCATCGTATCGCGATTGGTGAAGCTCACCCATAAGAGAATTCACTAGGCCCGTCATTCGATCAGCTGTTCGTTCATCGATGCCTGCGTTAGCGCTCGTATAACTAGGTTAGACTGTCGGCTCCCTTACCTGTCCAGACTACTTCTCGTTGATACTCAGGGTTGACGTCAATGCTGCCATCGTCTAAGCATCCTGCCATATTGTGTTAACACAAAACAGTTGTTGTCATCTGATATCCTTACTGATCAGATCTGCGAGACTTCGCAAGTTGACCTGGGGTCTCGGCAACTGCGGCCGCGGTCTGTAGCCATCCCCGTCATCTTCATCATCAACATTTCCCATCAAATCATCGCTGTCGTCGGGGCCGGACTCCGCTTTGATCAAGGCTTGTAGTGTGTCGTCTTCGTGCGACTCTTCTTTCATGTGAGAGTGTTGTTCTTTGGTGGTGCTCATCACTATGCTCGCCAAACCTGCCGTGTTATCAGTGGTAGCGAGGGTGGCGACTTAAGCAATCTGCTGGACTGCCTGCAATTGTTGCGCACTATCTATGACGTAACGTGTCTAGACAGGCCTACTATATTGTTTGATAGTCTTATGCAGCGTTTTGCTTGCTAGGTGAGAGAGAGAGAGAGCAGAGTGATATAGATAAGTTGCGGTAAATGTGGGGCGCGCTAGAGCCTTGGGCCCTGATTGAGTCAGTAGGCCTCTGTGCATGCATTAGTGCCAAACACTTTGTACAACTGTAGCGGTAGCACAGATGATACTTGGATGGATTTAGGCCAGTTTATCCAGACGATGGTAATGGTAATAATCCGATTAGTTGGATATTGCTCAGACAAAAGACTATGCAAGAGGACGTGAGATGTTTTTTGCAGCTCAATCCCATGCGCTTTTGACTTCAGTGTGACATGCAGAGTCGCAATGATTCGCTGCTCCGCCATCGGCTGGCCTGTCCGCCATGCGTACAGAAAGGACTGATGTTAAATGGGATTCTGCCATCCATGAATAGCGTTGCCTGTCGCCTTGACTCTGGGAACTGACATTCACTCGTTTTACTAGTCGATATGTGGCTGGGGCTCCTTTGTTGGGACATTGATGTCGGAAATTAGTCGCGGAAGACCAAGTGTCACTCGCTTTGCGCCAAGACAAGGGCACGTTGAATGCTGGTGTCCAGTTATCTCATGAATCAGACGCTCCGCTAAATGCACGCCTGCGGCGCTAGCAAATATCTGCAAACTTCTAGGCTAATTATATAGTTAGCGCTAGATATAAACTTCTAGGCTAATTATAGGCTACTTATATAAAGGGTTAGCGTAGCTTTAGTAGAGTATCTAAGGGAAACTAGGAATTTTTTTAGTATAATGCAACTTTAAAATATAATATAGCTATTTTTAGGATAATACTACACCTATTAACTATTAAGTAAAAATCCTTAGGGGTAGAATATATTATACTAATAGATCTTAATTTTATATTATAACTATAAGTATAGTAATAGAACTATAATATAATAACAAACTATATTATTACGCAAGCCTGTTATAAACTATTTTACGTATATAGAGTTAGCTACTATAGGCCCTAACCTCTAACCTCCTCTCTCCCTAACCTCCTCCCTCCCTAACCTCCTCCCTCCCTAACCTCCTCCCTCCCTAACCTCCTCCCTCCCTAACCTCCTTCTTTTTCCCTACTACAGCGCGTTATATATTTTTTTCTAAACTTCTACAAACTTCTATAAACTTCTATAACCTCCTAGGCTAACTAACTAGCCTACCTACTAGTAAGCCTTACCTCCTCTAAACTTCTATAAACTTCTGCAACCTCCTAGGCTAACTAACTAGCCTACCTACTAGCAAGCCTTGCCTCCTCTAAAATTCTACAAACTTCTACAACCTCTTAGGCTAGTTAGCTAACCTATAGTTAGCAAGCCCTACTTTGTAGTATACCTACGTTATTATGAAGGGCTTAGGCTTATGCCTAAGCCTAGGTCTAACACAAGATAGACTAAGTCTAACACCACTACTAAGCAAACACACTAGACACCTATAAAAAGGTATAGAGGGCTTACCTCTCCTTTAAGATACTAAATACTATTATTAACGCTTATTATATTCTCCCTTAAGGCTAGTCTATAATATTTTAGTATCTTCTTTTAAATATACTATAATAGTAATAAGAGATAGACACGCTAGATATTTAGAATAACTAGGTATAACCTAATATAGTAGAAAGGCTAATATAATAGGTCTATAGATTAATAGAATAATAGGCTTAAGACTCTACTATAATAGCTATACTATATTAATAGAATAAGGAAATACGTAATTAGATTCTATCCTAACCCTCCTCTAAGCCTGCTAGGTTTAATAATATACTACCTCTACCCTCTCCTACCTTACGCTATAAACCTTTCCTAGTTAGCTTACTATATAATAGTACTAAGGTAAACTTCTCCTCCTAGTAAATAACTATAGAGTTTAAACTACGTGTAGATAAGGTCTTTATTAGGGATAAGGAGGCAAGGTTTATATATATTTAGTCCTAGTTATTACTTATAGTCTAGTGTGCTATAGCACTATACTTTAAGAATAGTGCATATAAGTGTTAGGATATAAGTAGGTTTCTTAACTACCTAGTATTCTATTATAGTAACTATTATAGGCAGGAGCGCGCCTAAGTTATATTAGAATACTTATATTAGGGCTAAAATTAGCCTTTTATAGAGTTCTTTATAAATTTTATATAGCTCCTTATATAGTTAGGAGGTTTATACTAGGATAATAAATAGAAGCTTTTATAACTTTAGTAATCTCTTAATAGTTATATACGCTTAGTTTCCTTTAATAGGGGAGTCTCTAGGATAAACTATAACGTAGCTATAGAGGAATATAAGATAATTATAGTAGATATTAAAATAGCCTCTTTAGAACTAGGCTTTCTTTAGGCTAGTAAGTCTAAGGAGCCCTAGTAGAAGTCTAACTTAGATTAGGACAGCGATATAAATATAGTAGAAGTAGTAGCCTTATTAAGTGCACCTACTAAACTACTAATATTACGTCCTAACTAGATCCTATAGGACCTATTTGTAACAAGGCTAGGCTAAAATAGCTAGCGCTTACTAGATGCCTAGGCTAGACTTGAACAAGGTTCATGGGTTAGCGCTAGGGTCTAGCACTATTATCTTAGGCTAAGCTTAGCTAAGATATATATATTATACTATGCAAGGATTACTTAGCTTAAGTATTCTCGTGCGTACCTTTTAGACTATGGCCAAATTAGTATAGATAGGGGAGATGACGTAGTATTTATTTTATAGGCAGGGCGCCTACCTTGTTACATAATACTTAAGCAAACCTAAAGGTCTAGAGTTTGAATCCCTTTGTGGATTGTCTCTGGCTTAAATTATGCTTAGGGGACTAGGCTAGACTAGATTTGCTAGGGTTAGTGCTAGGGCCTATTTAGGACTAGGCTAGACTAGATTTCTAGGGTTAGTGCTAGGGCTTGCTAAGCCTAATTAGGGTAGAGCGGATATATATTGCCCTTAGCTAAAGAGCTCGTAGCTTACTTGTCTTAGGGACTAAGACATTTAAGGAGGGAGGTAGTGTAACAAGGCTAGGCTAAAATAGCTAGCGCTTACTAGATGCCTAGGCTAGACTTGAACAAGGTTCATGGGTTAGCGCTAGGGTCTAGCACTATTATCTTAGGCTAAGCTTAGCTAAGATATATATATTATACTATGCGAGGATTACTTAGCTTAAGTATGTGGTGGCATGTTATATAACCATGGGTTTAGCGTTAGGCGACTTGGGCTTTACTCCGAGTGGTTAGAATATCCCTGTAGGTTCAAGTCCACGTCACAGCGGCAAATTTTCATGGTTATATAAACTAGCCTATGGTTAAGTATAAATTAGGGTAATTTAAGCAAGTAAACGCAGTTTTTATTACTATCTTTTTTAAATATGTTCTAAACCTATTCTTAATAATATGCAGGCGTTCCTAAATACTATACTAGAGTTTAGTATAGCAGTACTAGACAACGTATCTAAACTAGATAGTAATATTAGAGATAAATTTAGGCAACTATATAAAGTGCTAGAGGAGGATAGTAGTAGTAGCGTTAAGGAAGTAAGTAAAAGTAAATAGAACAAGTTTAGAATAGGTTAGTAACACGTTATAGGGGCACAATATATACCTTACTTATAGTAATAGTTAAGGACTACTACTTACACTAGTAATTATTAAGCATATAGCTAGTTCTCCTAGTATACCCTTAATTATATAGCTAAGGGTATAGGTATATAATACTAGTTTAGCAATATAAAGATAGCTCTTACCTAATAAGAGAAGAGGTGCTTGTGCAGGCTATATAGGTAACACGTTAAGAACACGTTCTTAAATTGTTCTAATTCTAGCAGGTATAATACTCCCGCTAGTCTGTCTATCTTAATAGGCCTACAACTTTACTATTCTTTAATAGCTAGCTAGCAAGCTAGTATAAATACTAATACTCTAGGGTAAAAGTGTGTAAGTATCTTAAGAACACGTTACAAATATATTCTTATTACGTTATTAATAACGCATTGTATAATTAGATCTAAACCTTAAAAAGTGCAGTACCTAAGAAAATTCTATAAAGAGAACTACAAATAAGAAGCTATTATTATAGCCTTATTAAGCGCTTCTCTTTAAGGATTTATAAGGACTACTAGGTGTCTTATTATCCTATAATAAGGACTGTAGTAAATTAGGTAGGGAGCAAAACTTAAATATATTTAAAACGTGTTAATAATAAGTTAGTAAATTATAGAACAGGCTTGACTATATATTAGCTATTAGAACTATAGCCTAATATCTGCTACTAGGAAAAAATATTATTTTAGTTAGGTACCACTAGAGGTAGACTCCACATATCTATAAGGTCTTCTAACTAGGGAGATATTAAATCTTTCTAGTAGTCCTGCTTTATATTCTGTGGTTAAGCTATAGTTAAGCTAGATAAAGAAGTGTGGTAGGCATATTGCAACCTATTCCTAATACGTTCCTAATATATTCTAGGTATTAATTATCTATAAGGGCAAGGATCTCTATTTAAAATCCTGTGTAAAGTTACCTTCTAAGTAATTATACTAATAGATATAGTAGTAATACCTTTTTTTACTATTATTTCTTTTAGTATATATACACATATACCTCCTCCTCCCTTAACACTATCTAATAGTAATATTAAGGAAGTAGTAAAGGTATTATAGCCTATACTTACTCTATAGCTTACGTAATATAAGTTGTTTGCAACCTGTTATAAATATGTTCCTAACTTGTTATAGCCTAGTTCCTAAACTTAACCTAGCTCTAAACCTATCTCTAACTTAAAGGTTTCTATTCTATTAAAGAAATATATATTAGCTTTGCAAATAAAGATAAAATCTCGCGTATTATAAAGCGTGAAAAGCTTC